ACAACACTCTGTTCAGATTCCTCTAGCCAGAATTCAGTTTCACAGCCATAACCAACTGCAAGGGGGGCTAGGAAATAACTGTGTGTCCAGGAAGTAAAAGAGAACGTGGATTTTGGTAAGCAGCCAGTAGTCTCTGTCATTAGCAGCCTACCAAAAATGATGAGTTTGGTGTGGCATAGTCACCCTTATCGTACTGTATTACAGTTACAGATTTACACACTTGTCTCCTCACGTGGGCTCTGAGAGCTTCAAATTTCAGCACCCAGGATAAGGCAGGGTGAGTGGTAAATGCTTATTAAATGTTTTTTGAGCGAACAAATGAATGGAGAGCCTGTGTGACAGTAGTTGACCAACACATTCAGTTGCTTCTTGAGGCTCCTCCTGGAATGTCACTTACCTATGCTGTCAAGTGAGAGGAACACGCGTGCCTTCCTGTTGTTATGGCAGGTGAACATGTCTCCAACACATCTATAAACTGTATCAGATCATTGTAGCCACAAGTTAACTACATTTAGTGGCATTTAGCATTTGAATTTACTTGGGTTATGTAGACTCATTCCTACCCCTTCTGATTCTTAAGCTGGTATTATGGTCAATGCTCTAAAGTATGTTTTAAAAGTCAGGGAGCCAAACAGAAGCCATGTAAGTGGAGGGTCCTCCCCGCAGTTGAGGCACGCCACTTCTATAGCCAGGGGGCCAAAGCACGTGCATGGGTTACCAGGCATACTAGCTTTTCCTCCTTCTCCAATGACAGGCTTCTCTTGCTCCCGTGTTCATGCAAAACCACACTAACATGCTACTTCCCACCCATGAGGATGACTATAATAAAAAAAAAAGATGAATAATAAGTGTTGGTGAGTTTGTGGATAAATTGGAACCCTCATAAATTGTTAGTGGGACTATAACTGGGACAGCCACTTTGGAAAATAGTCTGCCAGTTTCTAAAAGTTTAACATATTACATATCTAAAAAAGTTTAACATATTACATATCTAAAAAATAACATATTACCCATATTACCCAATTCCTCTCTTAGGTATATACCTAAGAGAAATAAAAAACATACATACACAAAAACTTATATATGAAAGTCCACATTTGTGGTAGCCAAAAAGAGAATACCCGAATGCCCACCAACTGACAAATGGAAAAACAAAATGTAGTACATCCATACAAGGGGATATCATTCAGCCATAAAAGGAATGAAGTACTGATACATGTAGCTGTAGGGCTGAACCATGAGGGCATTATGCCAAGTGACAGAATCTAGGTACAAAATGCCACATATTGTATGGCTCCACTTCTATATTGATCAAATGTCTAGAATAGGCAGATCCATATAGGCAGAAAGTAGATTAGTCATTGCCAGAGGCTGGGGCAGGGAGGAAAGGTGAGTGACTGCATTAAGTATGAAGTTTCTTTTTAGGACAATGCAAATGTTCTAAAATTAGATTGTGGCAATAGTTGCACAACTTTGAATATACTAAAAACACTGAATTGTACACTTTTAAAGGGTGAATTTTACAGTATGTGAGTTATTTCTCAACAAAGCTGTTTTTTAATGGAATTTCTAGAACTGAAACCACAATTACTAAAAAGAAAAATGCATTGGATGGGCTGACCAGCAAACTGGAGAAGGTGGAGAAAGGATCAGTGAAGTTAAAGACAGATCAATAGAAATTATATAATCTAGAGAACAGAGAACTAAAGATCGGAAAAAGTTTAACCACACATCAGAAACTAGCAGGGCAATACCAATCTAACATACATGTGACTGGAGTTCCAGGAAAAGGAGAGAATGAAAACAGATTTTTAAAAATGGTTAAAGAAATAGTGGTTGAAATCATGTCAAAATTTCATAAAATACAATAACTTTAAGATTTAATAATTCCGACAAACTCAAGTAAAAAAAAAAATACAAAGAAAACCATACCTAGATATATCATAGTCAAACTACTGAAAACCAAAACTGAAAACAGAATTGTGAGTGCTACCAGATTAAAAAGAGATTACATATGAATAAAACAATGAATAAAATAATAATATGAATTAAGGTTAGCTTCTCATCAAAACATTGGAGACCAAAAGAGCGCCACCCAAGGTTCTGCGGAAAGAAAAAACACCTGCCAAATCATTACATCCAATGAAATATCCTTCAAAACTGAGAGTGAAATAAAGACATTTTTCTTAAAAGCACAAAATAAGAAGATAATGTCACCAAGAGAACCATGCCTCAAGAAATGCTAAAGGTTATTCTCCAGGCTGACGGAAATGATAAGAGTTGAAACTTGATTAAGAACTGTTGCTGATGGAAGTGTTGTGTACCCTTCCCTCATGAAGGGAAGGAAAAAGATTGAGAGCCACTGCTCCAAATGGACTGTTAGCAACTGTGTTTTCTATGTGCCATAAGCCACAAGTTTTCAAATTATAGGTTTAACCCATTATTGGTTATAATATAAATCTCACTGTTTGCAAATAGCATTTTTAAAAATGTAATATGGCAGAATGGGCCAGAAAAGAATAAAACAGAAACACCCCTTTTTAAAATTAGAAACAATACAATGAATAACACACACTTTAAAAACCTACTAATGAAACCACAGCTCTTTTGTTGGGCAATGTCTTACGTAAATATCGCCATGACATTCTTCTTAAAGCTTAATGCTGACAAACTAGTCTCCTTTCATTAGGCAATGAGAGCCATGTGATTTATTGCTCCCTTTCTGACCCGGCTGTCAGGAAGATCACAATAAGTGTTTTCCTCAATTATAGCAGCTATTCTTTGTCCAGGTTTTCTGATACAATGGTATATTCCCAAGCCTCCCTGGACTTGATCCACTAAATAAACTAGCCGTGACGATTCCAGGTGGAAATAGTGTCAAGGCCCAGCCTCACCTGGAATGTGGCTGCAGCATTTACCTAACAGCTTTGCGAAATTACTGTCTCCCTTAAGTCCCTGGTTCCACCCACATTTCCCAGCCCCAATTATTGGCATCTATACTCCCTTCTGATAACTTCTTATAAACCAACCAAAGCAACAACGGAGGTAGTTGGGGCAAGCATGAGCTCGAGTGTGGGACCCAGGTTTGAATTCCGGCTTCATCCTTCAGCGATCTTTCAGTGGCTAACACACTGTAACAAGGAGGTTTCCTAGCCTATCTGAACCCCAGGTTTTCTTCTATGAAATGTACTAAATACTGACTCCCAAAGTCACTGTCAGTCAAAACACCTAGCACAGTGTCTGGTGCAGATGCTTGATAAATGCCGGTCACCTTTTCCCTTTGAATGCCAAGAACACATGGTCTGAGCCGCAAGGCCCTGCCTGATCTGGCTGGCGCTGCCCCTCTCCGCCCTGGTCTCTCTGATCCTGCCACTTGGCTTCTTTACTATTTCTCAGATCACCCAAGCACTTCCCTGCCATGGGCTCTTTTGCCTATACTTTCTTTGCTAGATAATTTTCCGAACACCTGCATGGCTTGTTCCTTCATTTAATGCAGTCTCTGCTCAAACTCACCTCCTTAGAGAGGCCCTCCCTAACCACCTGCTCACAAACAGAGGCGGACTCTATTGCGTGCTGGGGGCAAGATCCGAATCTCCACCAGTCAATTTTCTGTTCTCCGTGTGCCCTAGCGACATCACGCACAGGGTGTGACAGGCTTCTCTCAGCCAGCAGAAAGGGTTCACATCATGGGCAGATCTCCAGAAAATCAAGTCCTCATTAGAGAAAATGATAGACGCGCTTCACTTTAGGCCCTTAGGCCTCTCGCCCTCTAGCCTTGCCCTACAATGGAAGGTGAAGAGAAGGCACACAGAGAACCTGGACTAGAACCCAAGGTCTAATGTGGAACTCACCCCTACCCCACACACAGCCTCTATACTCAGTAATGTAGGCCTGGTACCCACGTAGAGGCAACTCAGAGAGCAGAAGAGGTTGCTGGAAAGGACTTTATCAGGCCCTCGGCTCCCAAAATGACAGGTGCATGGCAAGACACAGTAAGAAGAGCAAAGACCCAGTCACTGGGCCAGGGTGACAGAAAGTCTGGGCAAGGGCTCTGATGTCAGATACAAGGACAAAATCCAGGCAGGTGGACGGGACCTCTGGAAGAGGCCTCACCTTGTCTAAGATCCTCCTCCACCTGCTACTTGCCTTTGGGTTGAGATTTGACCTTGCCCAGTGGAACCTTCTGCCCCAGACCAGGATCCACAGGGTCCCTGGGTGCATCTCTCCACATCTGCTCACAAAGCCTCAGGACACCTCTCTGGCAGTGGCTCGGGCTCATTGCTCTTGTCAAAGGAGCCGGCCCCTCCCCACCTCATGCCTCTCTCAAGAACTACCAGAAACAAGACATCCACCAAAGTCCTTAGCAGCCCTGCTGAAGGAAACGCAGAATACTGTCCTCCTCACCAGAGTAATGTCCAACTCCACCTCAATTGGCTTTTCTTCTGAGGGAAGGCCCGGGGAGGCTGCCTGTGTTTCCCTGCACCGCGGTATAAGGGGCTGGTTCCAGAGCTCTCCCTGAACGCGCTTTGGGGTAAGACTGGAAGAGACTTTCTGAAACTGGGAGGCCACTCCAGGGATGCCAAAGCCAAATTTGCTCCGTCCTCAGCAGACTGTCACTGAATCAAACCCGGCTAGTTGTTCACTTACCCTCAGATACCCCAAACTGAACACCCCAAAGACTTTTCACAAGAGGCAGAGTCCGCAGCAGCGGTAGGAGTTGGTCACCAAGCACCGAGAAGGCGCTGCACCGTCCTCTGCCTGTCCTCTGCCTCTCGTCCCACCTTCGCTCTCCTCCGTAAAAGTAAGCGTCTGGGAAATGGCCCAGGCGTCCCTCCGCTTCCCTGCCCTGGGGAAAAGGGGTCAGCTTCTCGCGCCACCCCGTCTGGGTTCGCCTGGGGTCACGGATCCCGACGGGCAGGAGTTAGGATGGCTTCCCCCTCCCCCGCCCCCTCCCTCCTGCGACCCGGGGGCGCCGAGGCCGTCGGGCGGGGCGGACTCACCGCGCAGCGCGGGGGCAGCCATGGCGCGGGCGCTCGGGACGCGGAACCCTGGCGGCCGCGCGGCCGCGCGCGCTTCTGGACAGGCTTACGCCGCCGCGGGCTAATTCCATCGCGGCTCAGCTCCTCCGGGCGCGCCCGCCCCGCCGCCGCCGCCTCCCCCCCGCGCCGCCCGCCGCCCGCGCGCCGGGCACAGCGCGCCTCCGAGCGCCGGGCGCACCCGCGCCCCGGCCGGCGTCGGGGCAGGAGCGCGGTCCGCCCGGGAGCCCAGGAGACGCCGCGGCTCGCCGAGCTGGGGACCGGACAGTCAGTGCCGCCTGCTCCCCTCCGCCCGGGAGGCCCCTCACAACCTGGTTCAGCGTAAAAATTCAGCCGGATTATCTCATGAACCGTCTGGCTGATTAGTTTCCAATCCTGCCAGCAAAGCCTCCTTCCCGCCGCCCCACAGGGTCACCCTCTGTCTAGGGGACAGCCCAGCTGCTAGCCCCTGCACAGACCCCTCGCACCTGCCTTCGCTCTGCCTCGCACCAGTGTCCTCACCTTGCCCTAGATTAAGACGGACAAAAAGGAGCAGGACTCGGGGAATAGGTGTGCAAGGGGCAGTAGGGCAGGAAGAGGGGCCGCCAGGGGCAGGGGAAGGGGCAGGTTTTATGAGAGCGTCCCCCTGAGACGCTAGGACAGGGTAAGGACGGCTGCGGAGGTAGACTACGGAAGCCCCGTCCCCAGGGAACCGGTGCCTCTCCTGGGATGGTTCAGGTTCGCGTGGCCGTGGGCAGAGGGATGGAAGAGAAGACGAGCAAGGACCATTCTGGATGATGATATCCACAACTCCAAGATGCCCCGGAGCAAAACAAAGTCATTATTGCCACGGCCCCTGGAATGAACAAGTGTCACCTTAAGGTCCAGCATGCTATTGTGATCACCCACCGTTAGCTGTGGAGACTTGTCTCCCCCACACTGAGGGAAGCTGGTGACGACTGCTCCCCATTTCACAGATGAGGACGCTGAGGCAGCAAGTAAGGGGCGTAGGTGTACAACAGCACAGTCAAGGGCAGAACAGAAGCAAAACCAGAAAGTATGGTGCCCCAACCCAGCCTTTATTCTGGCCTTGCGAGTCACAATGGCTAACATTTCCACTGGACTTCCTCTTTGTCAGACACCCTTCTCAGCGCTTTACCTATGGTAGCTATTTTACTCCTAAAAATAATTCTATGAGATGAATACTGCACTATACCCATTTTACAGATGAGTAGACTGAAGTGCTAAAGTCAAGTAAATTGCCTCTAGGAGGATCCCAGGATCCCAAAGCAGGCAGCCCGCCCTATTATTATGTATTACTAATGTAATACGTAGCAGTAGGATGTAATACCAATAAAGTTTTAGGACAGGCAGTCTGTCATAATACTTTGCTATTCAGCTGCTTTCCCTAACAACGCCCTTCTCCTCCTTTACTTCCAGGGACACTTCTCCATGTCTCTGCCATCCCAAAGGATTGGGAACACTTTCACCATTGCGCCTTCATCCACGACCTTTCTCCTCTCCCTCCAGCACTTTCTTCCTCCCTGTGTACTCCTTGCATGAGACTCCCCCAAAACACTCACTTTGGGGGATTCTGCCTCATCTCGTCTGAGGGTGAGCAAATGAGAGGGTCCCTGAGATCAGGCGCAGCCCCCGCCTTTGGAGTATCTGTAACTAAAGGAAGGCTGCTGAGACACTTCACACACACACACACACACACACACACACACACACACACACACAGGAGCGCTACTTCCGCCAGTTTCTCTTTCTGCATCCTTTTTATCCAGCTCCCTACATTGTTTTTATTTTTCTTAATCAAAACACGCAGTTTTCCTGAGTCCGCTTTGTTATGGATGGTAAAACGTCCTATCAGCGAGTATGAGACGTCCAGGCTGTCAAGGCACAGGCCGTAGGAAAACGGACAGCTTATGCAGAAGAGGCAGCCTCCCTGCTGGGTTTCTCTGTGGCTGATGCCTCCAGTGGCACCTTGTCCCCAGCTAGAGTGTTAGGTGATCGGTCAGAAGAGTGACAGTTAATTCCCTGTCTCTGGATCTGGTTTCCTACTAAGAGAGACCTTAGAGGCTACTCAAAGTTAGGGGTAGGGTGATAGATGCAGAGATGACAACCTTTGAATTATTGAACAGTTATATAAAACTTCTATCCATTCTTTCCTCCCTCTATCCCACTAAACTCCCCACTAAACCTACTCAACATAATCTATGCCATTTTCCTGCAATGCAGCTTCTTTTGAAGTTAATCCTAGACGATAACGGAAGTCGTGGAGGCCTAGAAATGCAGTGGCCACTGGCTGCCCTGGTGGCGAGGAAAGAACCTGTAAGCGGGAGACCGTGTGGCTCCGGTGGAGTGGCCTGGGGGTTCTTGTCCAGGTGTCCAAGCACCTGGGCTCTGAACCTGTCCCTACCACCCAGCATCTGTGTGACCTTTGGCAAGTCATTTGAGTTCTCTGAGCTGCTTTCATCATTTGTCAATGGGGAGGGAAGGGGAGGGACGGTGGATTAGACGACCTCTAAACCCCAGCTCCACAGTCCATTATTTTCGACGAGCTGCGTCTCTCCCGTGTTGTAAGAATTTGAAATGAAAATCAATCTCCTTTGAACTCCTAGCGCATCCAGGACATCTCCCTCATTCTCATGGCTGCTCTCTCCCCAGCTAGGTCTCTACCATCTTGCCAGTGCATACATGTGAACGCTTTTCACAAATTTTAAGGAGGGACAATCTCTGAGAGTGACAGTACCGGTTAGCGATGAGGGGACTAGGTGATGTTTGGTGTTGTCTACACCTCTCCCTCTTCTTCCTCTTCCACAGAAAGATGTCTGGAGAGGTAGGGCCTTGACATACTGCATAAAGCCCGAAAGGAACTCAGCCCTCGCAGCCCTCGGGATGGAAGAAATCCCCAATGCTCTGCCGTCGGCACTACAGTCACCCGTTCCCCACTTGAGCCTTGATTTCCCCGTTTCTATTCTTGTCACTTCTTACGTTATTCTAGAACAATTTGCAGTTACCTAAGCACTTTCAGGCTTTATTTTAGGCTGAAGTGCTTTATCCTTTGCGTCCCATGAATGAGACTAACATTCCTGTTCTCAAGGAAACTGAGTCTGAAAACCATGAAGGGGCTTGTATGAGGCCACACGGTGGAGCAAGGGCCACAGGGGGAGCCCAGGTCTGCCTCCAAGCCTGGGCTCCCCGACACGGCCGAGCCTGTGGCAGAGCCACACCGCTGCGCCTGCCAGCACCTGTTTCCAGGTCCCTCTGTCCTCAGCACTGCTCCCCCACAGAGGCCACTGAGGGACACGGGGTCCCGTCACCCAGCCAAATGGCTTCTCCACACTGTCAGCCACACTGACAACTGCCAAGTCTACCTCAGCAGGACCCTGGCCCCGGGCCCACCCTCTGCTATGGTCAGAAGCCCCTCAATTCGCAGCTTGGAGAACCCAACGTTCCTGAGCAAATCACTTTTCCCCGGGGCCACTGGGCCGAGTGTCTGAAGCCTGCCCCACGCTCTGCCCTCCCACCCCGTGGGGCCAAGGCACCACTCTTTCCCACAGGCTGGCGGTCCCTCCCCAGACACTGGGGCTGCAGTGCTGTCGGACGGGGCCTCAGAACCAGCCTCAGGACTCAGCCTCAGCCCACGGTCCCTGTCCCAGCCTAAAGACACAGAGCACCAGCAGCCTGTTGCGAGAGGAGAGCCTGGCCTTTATTGCGGGCCCGGGCGGGCACAGAGCAGAACATGCAGAGGACGAGTCGGGCCGGTTGGGCCGAGGCGGGCAGCGGCTGCGCGGGCCTCACTGGCTGCACTTCCTGGGGGAGCACCTGCACTGCATGGCGTTGAGGACCTCGTGGTACACCACGGAGCCGTTGGCACAGCGCAGGGGCACTCGCACGGGCTCCGTCCGCGTCGGGGAGCAGCAGGAGCACTGGTCCTGCACGTCCTTGGTGTCAATGGAGTACAAGGCTTTGCTGGCACACTTGCCCTGCAAGGGGGCAGAGGGGGCAGGGCAGCGTAATGGTGAGTGACCCTGGGTGGGCAGGACTCTAGAGCAGCCTGCTTCCTCCCCCCACCCTCCAGGCAAGGCGGGCCCCGCCTCGCCCACACACACCCAGGACAGCTAGGCAGTCTGTAAAGGCGGATCTCAGGGAAGTCTGACATTTCCTCTATTCTAGGGTCATATCACACCCAGATCCCTCTAGCTGCAATTGTTATGCGTGTTTGATTGATATACAGGAAATACAGCCCCCAAATAACTCTCCGCAATCATTAAGGACTCATTGAGTCTTTCCCCGGTATTTTTTTCCTCCTGGGATCAAAAGATCCCAGTTATTTCAATAAAACATTTACTTAAGAAAAAAACGCTTCCAGTCTCTTTCCCTTCTCCTCTCTGTGAATTTTCCACATCTTCCTAGAATGTAATTAAAGAGGCATGGCCAAACAAAGAGACTCAGCCCTCCCCACTCAGGCCTTATCGAAGCCAGAGACCCTTACCTGGCAGTAGTAAATGTCTACTTCCTCCTCAGACCGACAGCTTCCCACCGTGACCGACTGCAACCTGGCAGTGACGTCTCTGCATTCGGGCTCCTCACCTACAGGACAGGTGAGAGGTGGCACCTGGGGTTCTACAGAACACCCTTCCGCCCCAGTGCCCTCACTGTGCTGGAAACAGGTCCATTTCACAATAAATAAATAAGAAAATCCAGCCATAGGGAGGGAATTGAGTTATCCTGGTTCATCACAACTGTTTCTAGCCCTCGTATTCGTAACTGTTGGATTTAACTCACTTAATGGTACAGTTTTAGTTGCAGGAAGAACCTAGATTCACTGTGTTTTGGTGATGTAGAAGAATGTGACTTGCTTTTACGTGACTGTAGACTCCAAAAGCCAGTGACTATAGACTCTAAAAGCCAAAATGGCTGGAACAAGCCTCTGTGCTGCTTATAACTATAACCAGAAGATAACGGGCAACAAAGTAGCTAATAAATGTAATTATTATCCATCCCGCTCTGCCTTAGGGTAAGAGAAAAGGCCAATGTCATGCCCACAGAGGGGCCCTCACTGCCTCCACTGGGGCCCAGAAGATCCCTGAGAGCCTCTGAAGGCCCCTTTTTGAGTATTGCTGTCTCTAGGTCGCTGGCATGGGTTTCCTTATTAACAGGAGCTAGTGGCATTCAAATCTAAATCTCCACTTGGCCCACTGAGAATTCAAACATTTAATTCCAGCTCAGCATTCCCATCTGAACACTAGGAGCTTTCCATTCTTGGATGGCTCCAAATCTAACGACATATTTAGTCAACCCTAACGACATATTTAGTCTGCCTCTCAATTTCCCAATAATTTCATTTTAAAGGTAAAGCCTGCCAACTCATTTACAGGATGAATAAGAAAAGCATATTTAGGCCAACATACTATATTATTTTGCTGTAGATTTAAATCCCTGGCCCTGGCTTATTTTCCTTATTAAGGGTCTCAAAGGCTCCTTACTGGTGCTTTTGTTGATAACAGTCTCTAAACCAAATTCCATGTGCAGTGTGCCTAGAGAGAATTCATCTCTCTGACGGCTTCCTGACTTCCCATTCTTAAGCCATTCAGATGGGAATCATAGAAAGCAATGTTTTCAGAGTGTTTCCTCAATCTGTGATTTGGTTACAGCAATTACAGAGGTTGTCAGGGTAAGCCATCAAGAAAAGAATGAATTACCAAGCAATAGGAAAGAAAGAAAAGAAAAGGAAGAAGGAAGGAAGGAAAAGAAAGAAAGAAAATAATAAATGATTCAACACTGAAGATATTCATGTGTTCACTTTCCCTTTTTCTACCTGAAAATAAGCATGGGCCTGTAAACCCAACATCAAACTTTAAAAAAAAAACAAAAAAAAACAAAACACTAAAACAAAAAATATTAGTCCAGACAAGTAATTCTATATTCAGAAGATATAGCATTAGCACTGGGGTCCTGAAAGTCAGTGTGTTCATGAGCACAACAAGAACGTGCGGGAAGGATATTGTCTGATATGCAGACTGGTGAGCCTGTCACCAAAGCTATTGCTGTGAGTGATTAGAACAACGGCATGACATAACTGGAAGGTCAAAGGCGCTGAGAGTGAGGAAGGGGAGGTAATAAACTCAGACCGCCCTATGAACCCTTGAGAGGGCACTCTGTGTTCGCTGCAGCCCCCACGGCGCACACGGTTAGCCAGCTGGCGTCTTCCCTTCCTCTCCGAGACAGCAGTACCACGTTCATAAACAGGCATAAACTGAGTATCCGCTCTGTCAAGATCATAGAGCTGTAGCACACTCGTGAATAGAAATGCACTGAGTACCTGCTCTGTCACGATCATGGATCAAGGGTCCCTGTCTTCAAGGAGCCCTGGTTAGAGAGGGAAGATATTTTCTCATAATAGGACTATGAGCAGCCAAAGACTCTGTAGTTTTGGTGAAAGGCGCATAAGAGGCTAGAGACAGTAAGGAGTTTGAAGAGAAGGGGGAAAGAGACTGTTCTGTAGGCATTTAAAAGGGGATTTGAGCAGAGGGCAGTCTAATGACATCCACGAGGGAAGGCTGTTCCCTTCAAGATTAAATATAATGACTGGCCAGTGATCAAGAAACATGGCTGATCTAATGGGCTTCAAGGGACAAGATATTAGTAATATACTCACATGTGTCACAACAGGTGCCTGGAATTTTCATAACTTTCCCCTAAGAAAACAGCAAAGGCCCAGGTTAGGCACAAATAGTACATAGAGGACAGCTTTCAGGTTACTCCAGGCCTATTTCTAGTTCTGAACTCACAGCCCTGAGCATAAATCCCAGCTGTAAAGCATGCCTTCCCATCACAAGTGTGAGCAGATGGACCACCCCACCTGACCAGGCTGAAACAATTTTGATCATTCTGAATTCCCTTCTGATGGAGTCGCCGGGACCATCATTCCCAGGCAGACTGGAAATCAGTTTGGTCTCTCACCTTCCCGTTCAAGGATCACAGAGGCAGCCTCCCGGGAGGGAGGGCTTTTGTAAAGCATCCTCATGCTGCAGAGAACTCTGTCTCTCCGATAGGCTTTGACCTCGTCATTTCACCTGTTCTTGAACTAGTCGGGGATCTGCCTCGGACACTGGGAACCACGTCGGAGCTGGGCTGCACGCTGTGCAGAGGGGCCCTGCTCTCAGAGTCAAGGGCTGAGACAGTCAAGGGGAAAGCAGGGTCCCAGCTCGGCTACTCACTCCCTGAGCCAGACAAGAGTGTTCATCAAAGGGTGGGCAGTTGGTGATGCTCTTCTCCCAGATGTACTCTCCCCTCTCGTTGACCCTGCAGACGTGACTATCGCAGCCATCCTCCAGCGTCTCGTCACGCTAGAAGGAAAGGGGAGAGTCAGCAGAGCAAGCTCAAAGACAGGGTTTGGGTTACAAAGCCGCCACTAACCACGGCCCTGGGGTTGCTGGAGCGACCTGGAGAACTACGGAACAATGAGACAGCACACAAAGTCCCCACACCCAGAACACAGAACAGAAGTGGGCTTCCCGTTTTATGACTTCTTTACTGAGAACAGGGCTGTGTGAATGTAGAGCAGGGGTCCTCAAACTACGGCCCGCGGGCCACATGCAGCCTGAGGAGGACATTTATCTGGCCCACCGGGTGTTTCTGACGCCGCTGCCTGTCCTGCTTAGCAGCCGACTCGTACGGGCCCACAGTGCGCAGGTGTGGAATGTGCGCCGCACTCTCCAACGGCCCTCCAACAGTCTGAGGGACAGTGAACTGGCCCCGTTTACAAAGTTTGAGGAGCCCTGATGTAGAGAATCCTCCGACCATGGTGACTGCTTAGATGCTTAGGAGATTGAGATGCAGCAACCGTGAACTGGCTAATCCAGAACCAAAGCAGAGATGAACCAGGGGCTCCGCCTCGCAGCCCCACCAGCTAGCTCTGGCCATCGGAGATCAGAGTTTGTTTCACCTCGTGGCCTGTCCCATCTCACAGAATCGCAAAGCTAGAGAAAATCTTACTGGTCAACCAAGTCCAAATCACAAGGCCATACACCAACTACACTCCAGTCAACAGCAGCAACAAAATAAATTATAGAGAAAATTCCATGCCTCCCATAAGTCATGCATCTGTTCTTTACAAAGTTGGAAAGAGGTGGAAAAAGAAGCCAACATCGAACCAAACTTAGTCCCTCTTTCTTGAAGAGAAGATTTCAAAACAGGAAACAAGACAGTGACATGAGAAGGAACCTGAGCCCAGCTTGCTCCTACCTTCAGCGTCACCATCTGTCCTCCTCTTAGCCGAATGGTGCAAGCCACAGGCAAACACCTTCCGCAGCATTCACCTGGGTTCTTCTCTTCCTTGTAACCCTAAATAAGGGCAGGGGGAAACAGTAGTTAGATAACCTCTCCAGAACACCCCAAGTCTAGGTAGGTTTGCCTTGAGGGTCTCTCATCTCTCCCATCTAGCAGTTTCACCTGGAATTTGGAAAGTCAGCATCCAGCTCTAACTAGCTTTTGTCAGTTCTCAATCCCTAGACAGCATTCCTTCCCTCCACATCATGCATTTCACTCCAGTTGTCGCAGCCAGATCTATTAAATTAGACCTCTCCCCTGAGCTCCAGACTTAAAAATTCAATTGTTTACTGGGCAATTGTTTGTTTTATGGTCATCTTGAGACATATCCAAAAGGAAGCTTGATTTCTTCCCCAAATCTCATCCTTCCTCAGTCTTCCCTGTTTGGTAAATGGTGTCATCAACCAGTTGCTCAAACTGGAAATCTGGGGGTTATCCCTGACTCCTCCCTTTTTCTCATCGACCCCCATCACCAAATATTGCCAAGAATGTATCTCAAACTCCTGTTTGTCATAACCAGCATCCTCTGTCCTCGTCTAGTCTAAGGAATCATGTACCATGGACTCTGCTAATAAACCTATTTTGTCTTCCTACTTCCATTCTTTACCCCATACTGTAGATTACTACACATCTGCCAGAATGACCTCCTTAAAATAAAAGTCTAGTCATGCCACTTCTCTGTTTAAAAACCTGTGATGCAGTTCTGGTTCTAGGAATTGCACAGTGGCTTGTACTGGACTAATCCCATGCAGACAATTATAAACTAGTGACAAAATATTCAAAACATTATTTAAGGGCACTGGAGGATGACCTCAAATCAAGGATAAACTGTAGGTTCTTTGATCCTTGAAAGAAGGAGCCACAGAAGACACGATTCATGTTCAAACAGCGTTTCCTGTGAAGGCGGTCTGCATGGCACTGGACGTCTGGAACTCGGGCAAAAAATTGAGGCTGTATTTGCCTGAGGACTCAGACAGAGTTTGGAACAGCCGGAATAGCTGGAAACTAAATGGAAAACCTTCAGAAAAGAGAAAGTTGGAAAATCTCCAAATAAACTCCTCTAGGAGCCCAGGGACCAAACAACAGGTGCACAGCTAAAAGCCCTGAGCAGAAATCTCAGCTGCCACACACCACAGGGGAGACTGAGTTTGGAATTTGAATCCTACCAAGTTGAAGGGGCAAAACACTTCAGGTTTCCATTGAAATTTCCACAGGAGTAAAGACTATGTCTCAGGACTAAAATATGCAACCTAGGGATAAGAGAAATGCTGAAATAACACTCCCTGATGTAATTTTCAAATTGAGCCTCCTTTAGTTCAAAGTGAACCACCAATAATCTAGCCACCTGCTAGAACCAAACTTAACCTTCATGACAGAAAAAAAAAACAACACAGAATTAAGAGTCTCTGCAACGTATCTTTCACCAATGCCTAATACATAGTAAAAAAATGTCATGCAAAGAAATAGAAAAATTTGATCCACACCAAGAAAACAACCATTCAATAGAAATAAACACACAAATGATCTTGACATTGCGACTAGCAGGCAGGAATTCTAAAGTAACTATGATAACTATGTTAAAAAATGTAGAGGGAATGCTGAATATAATGGAAAAAGAGATGGGGAATTATAGGAACAAACTGGAAACTTCAAGAAAAACAATCAATTGGAAATCCTAGAAGTAGAAAACATAATACTCTAAATCAAAAATTCACTGGGTTGGGTTAACTGCAGATAGGACACAAGAAAAGAAAGGATCAGAGAATTTTAAGACTGATCTGTGCTGTCTAAAACTGAAACACAAGGAGGAAAAAAAAGTATACAGAGTCCCAGTGACCAGTGGAATAGTGGGGCTATAGTGGTTGACTGCACAGTCATGAGCTACATAACAATGTTTTGGTCAATAACAGACCACATAATAGAACTGCAGTCCCTTAACATTATACTGGAGCTGAAAAATTCCTATCACCTAGTGACGTCATGGAACATGTTACTCATGAACATGTTATGAACATATTACTCACATGTGTGGGGTGATATCAGTATAAACAAAGCTACTGTGTCAGAACACCATGATTACGTACAGTACATAATACTTGATGATAATAAACAACTATGTTACTGGTTTATGTATTTTACTATGCTATACCGTTTCCATTATTTTATAGGTACTCCTTCTACCTATTAAGCAAAAAGTTAATGATAAAACAGCCTGAGGCAGGTCCTTCAGGAGATATTACAGAAGAAGGCATTTTTATCATAGGAGATGACAGCGCCACACATTATCATCCCTGAAGACCTTCAGGTGGGACAAGATATGAAGGTGGAAGACAGTGATATTGATGATCATGACCCTGTGAAGACCTAATTTAATGTGTGTGTTTGTGTCTTAGTTTTTTAACAACAACAACAAAAAAATTTTAAAGGCAAAAAATAAATAAATACAATTTTTTAAAAATAGAAAAAAGTTTATAGAATAAGGATAGGAAGAAAGAAAATATTTTGCACAGTTGTACAATATGTTTGTGTTTTAAGCTCAGTGTTATTATAAGAATCAAAAGATTTTAAAATTTTATGTTTACAAAGTAAAAAAGTTACAGTAAACTAAGGTTAATTTATTATCAAAGAACGAAAACTATAAAGTTTAGTGTAGTCTAAGTGTACAGTGTTTATAAAATCTACAGCAGTGTAGCCCAGCGCGGTGGCTCACGCCTGTAATCCTAGCTCTCTGGGAGGCCGAGGCTGGGGGATCGTTTGAGCTCAGGAGTTCGAAACCAACCTGAGCAAGAGTGAGACCTCGTCTCTACTATAAATAGAAAGAAATTAATTGGCCAACTAATATATATGTATATATATAAATTAGCCGGGCATGGTGGCACATGCCTGTAATCCCAGCTATTCCGGAGGCTGAGGCAGGAGGATTGCTTGAGCCCAGGAGTTTGAGGTTGCTGTGAGCCAGGCTGATGCCACGGCACTCATTGTAGCCTGGGCAACAAAGTGAGACTCTGTCTCAAAAAAAAAAAGTCTACAACAGTGTACAATAATGTCCTAGGCCTTCACATTTACTCACCACTCACATACTGACTCACCCAGATCAACTACAGTCCTGAAAGCTCCATTCATGGTAAGTGTGCTATACAGGTCTATCATTTTTACTTTTTATACTATATTTATACTGTACCTTTTATATGCTTAGATGCGTTTAGATACATAATAGTTATCATTATGTTACAATTGCCTACAGTATTCAGTGCAGTCACATGCTGTACAGGTTTGTACCCTAGGTAGGTAGTAGGCTATACTATCGATGTTTGTGTAAGTACACTCTATCGTGTGCACACAATGACGAAATCACCTAACGACGCATTTCTCAGAACATATCCCCATCATTAAACAACACATGACTATATGCGTAATTTGAGTTTTAGAAAAACTGGAGAGATAAAATGGAGCAGAAAAAAAATTAAAGAAATAATAACTGAAAAATTTCCCAATTTGATTAAAAATCAACCCTCAGATCCAGGAAGCTCTCTGAATCCAAAGTAGAAAAGTATAAAGAAAACTACTCATAAGCATAGACTCAAACTTCTGAAAGCCAAAGATAAAGAAAAATGGTTAAAAGCAGCCAATGGAGGAGAGAAAATGCACATAGGAGAACGACAAAAATGACAGCTGACTTGTTATCAGAAACAATACAAGACAGAAGACAATGGAACATACTAAAGTGATGAAATAAAACTGTCAACTTAGAATTCAATATTCAGTAAATGAAGATAAAATAAAGACATTTTCAGATAAATTAAGTCTGAGTAGCATGTTGCCATTTGGCCTATGCTAAAAGTTCTTCTTTAGGCTAAAGGGAAATATATAACATGGCAATTCAGATATAGAGGAAGGAAGAGCTCTGGAAATTATAAATATATAGACAAATGTAAAATATTATTTTATGGTCTCTTTTTAAATTCTATGTACAAGACAACTGACTATATAAAGTAAAAATAGGCCGGGCGTGGTGGCTCACGCCTGTAATCCTAGCACTCTGGGAGGCCGAGGCAGGCAGATTGTTTGAGCTTAGGAGTTCGAGACCAGCCTGAGCAAGAGCGAGACCCTGTCTCCACTAAAAATAGAAAAAAATTAATTGGCCAACTAATATATATAGAAAAAATTAGCCGGGCATGGTGGCGCATGCCTGTAGTCCCAGCTACTTGGGAGGCTGAGGCAGGAGGATTGCTTGAGCCCAGGAGTTGGAGGTTGCTGTGAGCTAGGCTGACGCCACGGCACTCTAGCCGGGGCAACAAGAATGAGACTCTGTCTCAATAAATAAATAAATAAACATAGTAAAAATAATAATGGTGCTTTGTGGAATTTATCTCTTATGTAGAAGTAAACATATGACAATAAAAGCACAAAGTATACAAAAAACAGTACATATTAGTAAATCAAAGTAGACTGTGATAAGTCAAGGATGTATATTGCAATCTTTAGAGTAACCACAAAAATAGCAATATGAAGAAATAGAGCTAAAAGGCTAATAGAGTAGATAATACTAAAACAAAACAAAAAAAAAAAACTCAGTTAACCAAAACAGGACAGAAAAGAATTAACAATCGAACAAGTAACAGAGAAGATAGTAGATAAAATAAATAGAAAAGTGACAGATTTAAACCCAAACACATCAAAATAATTACATTAAATAAAGATTATCAGACTTGGATAAAAAAGCAAAGTCCAATTAGTATATTATTTACAAGAACTGCACTTTTAATTTAAATAGATAGAAAAGTTTGAAAATAAAAGTAAGAAGAAAGACATACCAGGCTAATTACTAAGAATAAGAAAGCTGAGATGAGTATATTAATACCAAACCAAGTGGATTGTGAGATGAAGTACATTACCAAAAATAAAGCAGGTTATTGCATAATGATAAAATAGATTCATCAAGACATAAGAATCAGACAGATACATATATAAATATGTATGTATCTAATAGCACAGCTTCATAATATAATGCAAAA